CCGTGCTCGGGCATTCGCCTGTTGACTTTTCACTGATTGACTTTGTTATCTATGTGTCAGTCTTCAAATGGGATCCGAACTGAGAGTTCGGGACCCGACACCAAAAGTCTTCAAATGGGATCCGAACTGAGAGTTTGGGACCCGACACCAACACTAATGTTTTTATAGTATTTAAATTTGTTAATTTTTAAGTCATATAAAATAGAATGATTTATATTAAAATATAGTGTGTATTAAAAAATGATCTGAGCAGTATATAGAAAAATCAAAACAGTTGATTTGATAATAATAAGGGAAGTTAAGAATATCAAAATTTGGTGATGTGATCATGGAAAGTAATAAAGAAGATTAAATGAAAGTTGAGCTTGAACCTAAGGAAGCTATCCGTGTACCAAAAGGACCAATGACTCAGGCGAGAGTTAAACAGCCAAGAAATACACTTAGTGGACTAAGGTATGAAGTTCTTGACATGGAGAACATTCAAAAACCATCTATGATGTTAACAATCAAGTCTAGCCCATTTTGATGATGTTACAAGTCCAAGGAGAGCCCAAAATAATGAGTTTACTTGCATCCCAAAAGGAATGACGAAAATGTCAAGAGTCATATTTGAAGAGTCACATTTGAAGTTCAAGAGTTTTTCAACTTTCTTCTTTATTTTTTAGTTCTCAAGAATAATTAATACTTGGCTTTGTTTCAAGTTTCTTTTCCTTTATGAATCTATGTAATCTAATTTGAGAATGAACACTTTTATCAATTACTTTTGGAACCCTTTTGCGAGTGATTCTTACCTTTGTACCTTCGGGAACTTTTCGATTACTTGGTGTGATTCCAAGCAATCAACCCGCGGTGTGTTTATCTGTGGTTCGATTTATCAAGTGTTCACCATCAAACTTGTTTTGCCATTCGCTGACCAAAGAGTGTAGTTCCATTGTGAGGGTATTGGGTCTTAGGTTTAATATACCTAAGGTTTGTGCTCCGTGAGTTCTACAAGCTGAGGTTTCCATCCCCTCGATTCAAAGTTCCATTGTGAGAGTATTGTGTCTTAGGTTTAATATACCTATAAGGTTTGTGCTCCGTGAGTTCGTTGAAGTCGATCGTGGATATATTCTTCTACCTTTCTTAGAGACTATTCCTTGGGAAATTTCGTATCATTTGGTAAGTTTAGATATTAGAAGAAATTTATGTATGTTTGGTTAGTGGTTTAAAGGGAATGAGGATAAGGAAAATAGTGTTTGGCAAATGTTATAGTAGAATTAAAAACAAATAAATAAAAAACTGAGAAAATTGTTGGTTTGCCACGTCAGCACCAAAAATCCTCTTTTAATATATAGAAGATTTGCATGTCTTGGCATGGTTATCGCAATAAACCCTCCCGCGGCGAGCCTACAAAGTTCTTGTATTTTCATTAAGAATTCTGGTTTAACCATTCAAATATACTTTTCCGACAGCGTGAATTGTTTGATTCGAACTTGTACCGTTTAATCCGCTTGATCTGCACTTGTCTTGCTTTATCCCTCTGATCCGCTTGACATGCACCGCCTTTGGGCTGTGCATTCGGGTATGCGTGTCGAGTTCGGATAAAACCTGACCGGGTTCGAATCTTTTGGGTAGAGGAGTTTATGATCCAATAAGGTAAATATTAAAAATCGTTTCGGTTTTTGTTTGGATTCTATCAATTTGGGTCGTGGCGACTTTAAAATTTCAGAACCTATAAATGCCCAAACAAATTGGGTACCTTTCATTTTGGGTATTTTGTACCGGATTACCAAATATTTTACCTTTTTTTTTTTTTTGTGCAAACCAAATATTTTACCTGTGACCTGAAATTTTATCCAAATATTATATAGTTACCCGACATTTTACCCACTTACTCGGATATTTTACCGATTACCCAAAATTTTACCCGGTTATCCAAAATTTTACTAGATTGCCTGATATAAATAAAGCTTCTATGCAGGGGCGGATCCAGGAAAAAATATTAGTGGGTGAAAAAATATAAGGAGGAATTGAACACAAAAACTCATGATTATTAGTGCAAACTTAACCATTTTGCCACTTTAACTACTTTTTCTTGTACAATTTTTTTTGTTATTTATATTTTGGTGGGTGCAAGTGCCCCACATCTACAATGTGGGTCCTCCCCTGCTTCTATGTGTATAAGTGCATGGAATTTTGGGTTTTTGGGTATCAGGTAAAACTCAGACCCGACCCGATACACACATGTACGTTTTCTTCTCTAATTTCTCATCATTTCTCTCGTCACATTATATGTTTTGTTTTCAATACTACAAGTAAACATCCTATTTTCTACGTCAAAATCTTTTGATCACCATCTCTTTCCCAACCATCTAAAAAATGTCAAAAAGGCATCAACTTTTAAATTTGAGACGTTTTAGTCTCCAACTTTGAAAATGTATTAAATCATTCAGTTCTTATTGACCTTATAAATAAATTTACGAATTTTGTTTGATTTGGCCATTTGAGGCATGTCTTTAAGTTGACAGGCATAAGTTCTAACAGATATTTAACACCGTTAACGAGTTCCGTCTATCTACTTAAATGGCCTAGTCAACAAGAGCTTCAGGATTTAATCGATATTATCAAAGTTGGGGATTAAAACGTCCCAAACTTTGAAAGTTCTTTTTTTTTTCATTTATCATGTTTATGAATTATTTAACACCTCTTTGTGAAACTTGAGATGGTTCTCCTTGCAATGTTGCTTCATGTGGAACTCTTTGAGATGGTTAGGAAAGAGATAGTGCTCAAATTCTTTGCCATCTCCGCTGCACCGTGTGATCATTGCCGTCAGTTTCGTCAAAAAATTCTACTACGCGTCTGAAATGATATCCTAATCACCGATCCAAACACCTCTACCGAAGAAGATGAAGATTATATATTTAATTATGTTTATAGTTATAACGAGAATTCTGATAGCATATTTGGTATTGAGTAGCATATGCGTATTAGAGTGCATGGATTCATTTAATAAACTTTAATTTTAAATAATGCGACGTCGTTTCAGTTGCCTAAACTCATTTATGTAAAACACAGCCATTTTGTCCATCCATGTGACACCCCAATCAATGACACAAATTGTTTAACTAATGGCATCTGTAGAATTGTCTTTCAGCCATAATTTTAAAGTTACGAAGTAATTCAAACCATAAGTTAGTTCATAAAGTTATAAACATGCCTCCAAGTTTTGTGTATGAATACGATAAAGCAACTACGTTGATGTATTATGAGCCAATTCCTTGGCTTTGTGTCTTGTAATTAGACATGTTGTTGAAGCTTTAAAGAACAAAGAGATTTAAAGCAAACTTCCCTTTAACCCAAGCCTCTTTAGAGAACTAGGTTAATTGTTGGAAGTTGTGTTTTCATTAGCATAAAGAACCTTTATATAGGCCACAACATCTTGAACATAAAAAGGAAAACACCCCAACCCAAATTTTAAAAGGAAAAACACCAAAACTATTATAACTCTAACGCATAAAAGAAAACACCAAAACGCAGTAACCATATCATTACTCCCCTCCTTGACTTCGAGCTTGAGGATATGCTTCTTGTAGCTTCTCTGCGTTCTTCCACATATTTCACCATTTCTTCTTCTTCAAATGGTTCATCCTCTTGGTCATCCCCATCATTAACTAGCATGATTTGAAAAAGGACTAGTTTGCAAACATGCCTTCGTGTGAAGATCTCATCACAGTTGAAGCATAGACCTGCTTGCCGCTCCGTCACTCAACGCTTGTCAATTTCTTTAAAAAATCGTTGTTGAGAAGCTTGTTTCACTTCTGTTTGTTGAGGCAACATAGCTTCCTCGTCTTTTCTGCTTTGGCTCCCACCATGACCTGTCAAAGGTGACCTAGTTAGCATGATTGAATATCGAGATGGGGCGCAAAGTGTCCTCCAAACGCTCGAGTACGTTTATCTCCCTTAATTTTGTATTTATTATCTCGTGCATATTTCTTAGCTTCGAAGATTGTTTTGAACCGAAAGTATTCACTTTTTTCCGTAAGCTGTCTGTTAGTCCATCGCAAAATTGCCACAAATGTTGATTGCTAGTTAATCTTGTTTATCTTCGCAAGCATTCCTCGAATTAATTGCAGTATTCGTCAACAGTTCTCGTACGTCCCAAATTATAAATGTTTTTTTTTTAAATGTTTAGGGTTTTGAAAAGTGAGAGATAAAGACCGCGGCGGCGCCTAGGCCTGGGCATAATACCCGAACCCGAAGAACCGAGCCGAACCCGACCCGAAAAAACCCGATCCGAACCCGAATCTGAAGTTTTAAAATATTCGAACGGGTTCTATACTTCACAACTCGAAAACCCGAACTCGAACCCGACCCGAACCCGAACCCGAACAAGTACCCGAACATACCCAAATATAAGTACATAGTTATAATATATTAGTAATATTTATACTTGTAATAACCTAAGTGCCTAAATTATTCGGATGCTAAGATATTTTCTGGTGTTTTAGCTACTTTGGGCTAGATTCGGGTATAAAATACTTGAGTTTTATAGATTTTTTGAGTATTTTTCAATACTTTGCATAGATTCAGATACAAACTTTCTAATATTTGGATACTTCGGGTAAACCCGAATCCGAACCCGAAATATCCGATCTGAACCGACCCGAACCCGAAGTTTTAAAATACCCGAACAGGTCTTAGTTTTCTAAACCCAAAAAATCTGAACCCGAAAAACCCGATCCGAACCCGACCCGAATATCCGAACGCCCAAGCCTAGCGCCGGCGGCGATAATAACAGTGTTTCATGAATAGGCCAATTTTGGTTAATTTCGATGTAATTATAAATTTTCTAATTAATTGATGTCCGAACCAAAGCGAACCGTAATTCATTTTGGTAAATATTGAACTAACCAGCTCGGTTTGGTTCGATTAAACCAAAATCGCATGGCTAATGAATAGTTGAAGTCAAGCCAAAGGAAAAAGAAACAAATAACTCAAAACGACCTCGCTTGGACATCATCCACTCAGCAAAAGTCTAACCCACATAAAATTATTTCTCAAAACTCAGCCGCCCAGATCAAGAAACAACAATGCAAGTCTCACTGGTTCAAGTCTCTTCAGTGTCCTACTTCAGATCTCAATCAACGATTCCTACTCTCTCCAACTCCAACCCCTCTTGTTTCCTTCTGCCAAAGTCCATCTTTCCTGGGTCCAAGTTAACCCTCCATCGATTTTTTCGTTATCCCAAGAAAATCTCAAATGGGTCTGCTCGTGCTTCTCTGCTTGAGACCCCTGTCTTATGGGCTGGTCGGATTTGTGTCTTCTACGCTCTCGTGAAAGCTGGTTTTGCTGGATCCAAGTCTAACCCTATCGTTTCTGGTTTGGTTCATCAATGACTTCTCTAGGGTTTTTTTTGAATGGTTCGTTTTTCTTGTTTTTGATTTTTGGTGTTATATTGGATAATCTTAGGTTTGGAAAGTGGTGGTGTTGATGTTGAAGATGATGGTGCTGATCTTGGTTTCTCAAAGTGGCTTCAGAACATTAAGGGCAACAAACCAGGTTTTGTTTTAACACGACTTATCTGTCTATAGGATTTTGTATCCAAGTCTAGAGCTTTGATCCAATTTCAGACATAATCCTGTCTGGTCTCCTGATTCCGCTATAGATTCAATTTCATTATTTGAAGAAGGAAGAGAATACCTGAGTCTATCTACTATCTAGCTTCAATGTTGAGTATGAGACAAAAAAAATATACTTTATATGTTCAGATAAGGATGCAGCTGATAAGAGGAAGCTAGTGAGCAAATGGCACCCGACGACAAAGGGAACACTTAGAAGGAACTACAGGATACCTTCCAAAGGCGAAGGAAATCGTTTGCTTAAAGCCATTGCGTCTCTTCTCTCAGATGATGATCATTTTAGAGATGCAACATCTCACAAGGTAACAAAACATATATATAGTTATCTTACACTTTATGTTCGGTGAAAATACCAAACTGAGACACTATTGCAGGGCTGTCAAATTCGGCGGGAGAGTGCGCATGGTCAAAGCGTATGTTGCAACAATGTGAGAGCTCTGTTTGATGAGTTACCAACGCCACATTTGGTGGTGGAGATCACACCTTTTCCAGCCGGGCCGCTTACAGAGAATGATTACCTTAAGGCCGAAAAGCTGGAAAGGATTCTTAGGTCAGGCCCCAACATTTGAACCCTCTGGCACTTTAGAGAAAGTGTTCTACTATATGTCAAAATCTAGAATCTGTACATACTCTACGGTGTCTTTATTATGTAGACGTTCAAATGTTTTGACTCTATGAAAGTGTTCCTTTCTTGTGAAGCATATATTATTAAAAATCGTTCTTAGGTTTGGAGTTGCAGATGAGAGTCTTCCGCAAATGATTAAAATTTCAAAATTATGCACACACGGATTTGTACATTGATTGGATAAGATAGTTAATGATTTCATCATGCAATCTTCAATGGAGCAAATTGCAATTGCATTTATACATGGTAAATGACATAATCGATTAAGTCACTTGTAGCAAAAAGGGACATTCCCTATTAAAGTTTAGCAGTCCCTAATGCAGAAACGTGGCTATTGAAAACACACTACTGTATTAAGCATCACTAGGTGAAAACGGGTCATATACTTGATGGACACCAGAGTTGAACCGGTGGCGAATCTGTGGTTGGCCACGTGGTATCAGGTTATCATGATGAAACACTGGTCTTGGAGGGAAATGAGCAGAATGCTGCGGAAATTGAGCCCCAGGGAAGTTCCTAGGCATCATCTGAGACAATGGAGGTCCAAAGTTCTGCAAGTTGGAAGATCTCGCGGTACCATGAAATGGTGCAGATGGGTGGCTCAAGGGTTGATCCATCTGCCTGCCGAAGTGCTGTGATCTTGTGTGATTTTGCTCAAAATGCTGAGAGGTTGGAATGACGGATGGAGCTTGAAATGCCAGATGAGGAAGATGAGCTGATTGAGAGTTGGGTCTAGGATATATATGTGGTGTGGAAACAACGTTTGGTTGTTGTGGAAGGAAACCAAAATCCCCGTGAAATGGTCTAGGAGCTGAATTTGTGAGAGGATTTATGGGAGGATAAGTAGGAACATTACCAGCAGGCCTACCAGCAATATGTGCTGATATTGACATGGGACGCAGAGAACCACCAGAATCATATTCTGCTAGATGTTCAGTACCTGGCTGATGAGGTACCGGATGTGGACTAAAGTTAGGAGCCAGAGGCCGTACTGATTGTGCCATGTTGCTTGAGACTATGTCTGGCAACAGTGTTGGTCTATGTACAGGTTGGAAAGTAAATAGGGTGGACGGCCTCATAGTAGAACGTGGTCCTATTGGTTGTATCTGACTGCAAGAATACGGAGGCGCAGTCACAGAATAGGCCCTTGGTGTGTTGGAAAGGCTAAAGGAGAACGAATCTGGTGGTCGAGGAACGTGAGAACCAGGAGGTAATGATGTGTCATGAGGAACTGGAAGTGGTTGCTGAGCAGAAAGATGATTGAGGTTCATCAAATTGGTAGGCAGTTCTTGTTCCTGGATACTATAACCAAGACCTGAAGCATAGGGTTTAAGAGGTGGATGAAATGTAGCTTGATTTGAATCCAAAAGAAAGGAGGAACCATGCTGTTGGACTTGGCTTTGGGGAGGTTGTACAGAGCTATCAGTTGGCTGTTCAGAGCTCGGGTTGGTAGCAAGCATGTTGCTGTTTTCTAGAATAGTTGAAATCTCTTCAGATCGGGAAGATGGAGGAGCAGCACCAGCTCCTGTATTTCCCTATAAGGGAAAATGATATAATCTGATTATCAGACTTTAAATAATAAATGCTAAATTATACTTCTAACTTTCTTATAGAAGAATTAGGAACTCACAGACACTGAAGAGATAAGTAGCTCAATTACAGCAATAGCTGCATCCACTTTTTCGTAAGTGTCAGATGATATATGAAAATATAACTCTTGCCAGGACGTCTGGATTTTATTTTCATCTGAAGGAGAGAGTTCAACCTGCAAATTTGAAGGAAAATCTAAAATATAAACCCATGCAATAAGCATACTGAGAATTCTAAATGACCAGCATGAAGAAGTAATGGTAGTCTATTATGGTAATCTCGATGATAGTGTATTCCAATATTTACCTTCTCTCCTCCTGTTTTAGTACCAAAAATTTGTACTTTGGCTCCAGTCTCCTGTTCCCATAATGAAAAAACTTAGCACGTATGCAGAGTCATATTGAATGATAACCAATTTGTCTTTGGAAGCAAGGAAGAAACGTCAGAAAGAGACACTGAAGTATGTTGACTCAAGGCAGATAAGGAATTGTAGCTGTGAATAGCAGTAACGAAGTTCGTAGGTGACTTACTTTTTCGAGCCGCTTTTGAGTATCACCTTGGGAACCAAATATGAGACTTAGAAAGCTGAAATCAGAATGTTCTTTAACCTGCAGAAGCACAGGTCCATACGATATCAGCTGCGAAAAGCTGAGTTGTCACATAACATAGAAAGCAGAATCCAAAGGATGTTGTCTAGGTTTAAAACAGCTTGATATATCAAACCCTCAAGTGATACAGAAAATATGGTGGGATAATAAATAAAGGTAATTAAAAGTATTTATACTTGTAGTCCACTCTTTACATGGATTTAAACAAGACTATAATGAGAAAAGAGAAACATATGCCGAAATAAGACCTATTTTTTCTTTTACACTCAATAAAATTCTCAATACTCTCCCAAGATATGGCATGAGCAATCTCTCAAACAAATCTAAAAGACTTTCTAGCTTCGGTGAGGTAGTAAGGTGTAACTTGACATGAGAGAGCAAATGCATGATTTGATAAAAGTTTAACCCTCTAATCAAGCAAGAACTTACATCGATCGGCAACCTAGCTTCTTTCAGCAATGGCTTATAATCAGGTGGAGCCTTGTACCTCGGATTCAACTCGAGTATCTCCCCTAGAAGTAAAGAAACTATATATCACTTGAGGGAAAGCGAATGTACAGATTGAACGAGGAAATTTTACCAGAACATACCAATTGCTTCGCGTTTTTCAATCTCCAGCTGTTCAGCAATATTAATCTATTAACACATAGATGACAGATGAGGTTACATAGCTAAAGAAGCGCAATAGAGAAGAAAAAAAGTACTGAAAATCACTTACATCACTGCTGTTCTGTGAAGCTAAAGCTGACTCTCTATTAGTCTCCACTTCAAGAGTTCCCGATTCCAATTGCTGCGTAATTTGATCCAGGCGTTTCTGCTCAAAATTTGGTCACCAAACACGCAGTATATCACTTACTGGTACCTGACATGGATTTTTCCATTTTGAGCAATTCACAAGAAGACACTAATGCGAGTTTAGTACCAACGGGTAAAAACTAACTTATCAGTGATTTTCGTCTTGGCAGCAGAATAAAGACTATAACATTAAACACTTAGGTTCAAGTGAAATGTCATCCGGCTTAACAAATTCTCGCAAAATGTTCAAATTCAAATCCTTTATATCCAAATTTATCTATTGATTAACTATCAGAGACATAAAGCTATATTCTTATTTCATGTCCTCTATGCATCAAAATTCTGACTAATAAGTGGATAGTTTCAACATATAATCTGTGTAACAAACTAAAAATTTCCAACTTCACAAAACATTTGTGCATAACCACTTGATTTTATTCAAACAATAAACCACAAGTATATGAATAGCTTCAAATCGAACATCTTCGGGTTTAACAAATTCTCGAAAAATGTTCAAATTCAAATCCTTAAATCTCCAAATCAATCAATTGATTATCAAAGACATAAAGCTAACTTGTCAATTTAAGTCTTCTTAACATCAAACTAATAAACAGTGTATACACTAACATTTCATTCAATTGCAAAACCTACAAATTCTCCAATTTCACAGCAAATTTATACCTGGTAAGCTAAAAATCGACCTTTCTTGACTCCAATATCTTGTGACAAATCAAGACCCCAATTAGTCTTTCTCTTCTTCCCCAGCTTCGAAGGAAGTCCAGTATTCGTATCATTGGCACCTCCTAGGGTTGTGTTCCCACGTTGAAAAATCGGGACCAATGATCCAGAGAGTTTGTTTTTAGGGATCACAAATCCAGATTTGGCACCAAACATTGAGATCTTCGCACCGTTAGTAGAAGTCATCTCTCGGAGTAACGTAGCGGCGGAGTTTTTCTTCCGACCTAAGAATCACGTCGTCAATTAGCGACGGCTCTCGTCGTTAAGGGTTTGAGAGAAATACCGTAGAGCTTATTTTCTTTTTTCTCTTTCTCTTTTTTTTTTTTTTTTTTTTTTCTCTTAAAAGACAAATTTACCCTCCACTGAATGATGTTATTTTCTTTTCAAAAAGTGCGGAAATGTTTCCGGAACTAAAAAAAATAGATGATACAATTTGACAAAAAAAAACTCCAAAAAACAGTTAACAAAATATCTAACATGAAAAAATTTAGGAAAAAAAAATCCAAAAAACTGTCATCTGTTTTTTTTTTTACCGTTAAATACGTCTAATTTAAAATTGGAATAAAAATACATCGGTTAATTATTATTGTTTTAATAAATTCTTTGTTTTTTTGAATTTTGGTAGATGCGTACCTCCGCGTTAACGGCTGTTAATGGAATTGCTAACTGCAGTTAAAACTTACCCCATGGTGTTTAGGTTTATATATATACAATCTCTTTTTAGAATGATACGAATATATTGTCTTAGTCAGTTGGTTACACGTGGGATGAGAATACTCATGCGCTTGAGTTCGAATCCCAATCTACTTTTTGACATTTTTTTCTTAATTTGAGTTCGAAAGAAGCAAAGAGAGAGAATAATGGAGGTTACAAAGAGCCACATGGTCCAATCTTTTCCTTCAATCTTGTTCCTCTTCTTTTACCATTGCTTCTTCTTCCTCCCCATCTTTTCCCGGAAAATCTATATCTTTCCTGAGCAAACCGTTTCATCTTCCAAGACACAACTCCGAGAAATTGTCGTTTCTTTTCCGATTCAAGGATCTTGATTCATAAGAGGTAGACACGTTTCGTCTTCTATTTTTGTGTTCGATTCATAAGAGTAGCAAAGAGAGAGAAGAATGGAGGTGGTGGAGAGGACGATGGAGATGGCAGAGGAATGATGTACGACGCCGAGAAGCAAGATGTATAGGATTCCGGTGGCGCATGTTTGTGTACCGCCGCCGAGGAAGAAATCGATGGTGGTGAGGAAACGAGATCCGCAGCCGCCGGTGAAGAAATCAAACTCAAATTAAAAAAAAATGTCAAAAAGAATAGTTTTGGGATTCGAATTCAGGCGCATGAGTTTAATCTTCCCACATGTAACCACCAGACTAAGACAATATTTTCATAACACTTTAAAAAGAGATTGTATATATATAAATGCAAACAAACATAGGTTAAGTTTCAACTACAGTTAGCAATTCTGTTACCATCGTTAACAGCCGTTAACACGGAGGTACAAATCTACCAAAATTAAAAAAAAAACAAAGAATTTAAACGGCAACAACTATTAAACGAGGTATTTTTATTATAATTTCTAAACTATAAGTATTAAACGGCAAAAAAAAATAGATGGCGATTTTTTGGGTTTTTTTCCCAAAAAATTAGGAAAATCTATCCATTTAAAAATAGTGGACAGAGATTAGGCTGGTCATAAATATTTTCTATTTGACTTGTATTCGTTACTTGTCCCCTATTTTTTTTTTTTGGAAAAATCAAATCTTCGTTGCCATTAAACTTGTAATAAATCTAATACTATTATTTGAGCAATAACGAAAATTACATGGAAAAAGTAATACGTTGAAAAACAAATGGAAGCATAAATTCCAAAAAAATAAAGATCCTATAAAGAGTGTTAGGAAAAGAGATAATTATAAAAACAGGCACTTTTGAGGAGAGAGATTCGGAAATGGGCATTGAAATAGTGAAAGACCCAAATAAAGTGTAGTAGTCCACTGTTGCGGACGATTTTGCCCTTTAATAATCGTAATTGAGTTTCGTTTTAATATGTGAATTGAGCGTGATGATGTCATGGTGGAGGCGCAAGTGGTGTAGGGTTTTAATGAGATAAAATGGTGAGCGGGAAAGGAAAACAGTGAATCACGATAATTGATGGTTAATTTGTGGACAGAATCTCATCTACCGAATTAGGTTTAAGTCTACAGAAACCTGTGGACGTGGCTAATTTGAAGAATTTAGTGAAAGGTGGATTACTGTGCTGGGTTAATGGGCGGGAAGTGAAAGAACAGTAGCGCACGGGTTTTGAGGGTTAATTTGTGGACGAAATGCGAGGAATCTGTAATTAGGGTTAGGTTAGTGAAAAGGTTTTGTCTATAAAACATGGACTAAGCCTGGTGAAGTTAGTAGAGGTTTAGTTTTAGGTCTCTAAACTAAACAGTGGTTTGAGTTATAGTAGGAGTTTCTGATCGTGAGAAGCGAGGAGAGGAAAATGACGGGAACTGATAAAGAGAAGGTGTCATCGGAGGTAATTTGTTGTTACCCTGTGGCTAAATAATTTGTATCTAGCTTGAATATGTTTGTAGTAAATATGTTGGTGAGGTGGTGTAGCAGTAAATATGTTTGTAGTATGTGTTTGGTGAAACTTGTATTGAATGTTACGAGTCAGAGAGAAGTGGGTTTTGCAGGGCTGCAATGATTATAGTTGTTTGATCACCGTAGGTAACTATATTTATAGAATATAACTGAGTTTGGATTAGTATGGTTAAGTGTAATTGTAAGCGATATTTGGAGGTGAAAGTAACAGTATTGTTCCCATGTTGTACATGACCTATGATGGAGAAATTTATGTACATATGTAAGCTAAAATTTTAGTAAACTGACTCTGCTATTTCCGCAGGTTCTGGGAAAAGTTGTACTGGTGCTAGCAGGAGAGTGGAAGTGTTCGGAGTATGGTTGCTGGGACTTTGCTGCTGAGAAAAACTGTTTATCGCAGTGCATAATGATAGAAGAGGAGATGTCGTATGCTCTGCTGAAAAGACATATTGAGAAGGAATTTGAAGGTGTTGTAAAAGGATCAGTAGGGAGAATGTCGTACTGGCCCCCGAGGGAAATGTCTATATTTTTCATATGCTAAAACTCCCCCAATTTCTATCAATAGTGACGCAGGCCTCGTCAACTTTTTCAAGTTACATGCTGCAACTAAGAGACTTACTTTGTTGGTGTCCTTTGTAGTGAATGGGGCTTCTAACTGTGTAAGTGTTGCTGAGAAGTCGGGGTGCAATGACAGAGGTGAAGGAGTTGGAGAAGGTCGAACGCTCTCGGTTGATAGCGATGATACAATGCCAACAACACAAGATGTTGCGCTGCTAATTGGTATGGGGGTAACTGATGATGTCAGGGGCGAGAATAGACTCACTCCAATTGATGATGACGCGGCACATGGTGACAATGGCCTACCGGTACCAATAGCAGAATATAGTGGGCAGAGAGAAGGTCTGGGAAGAATTGTAGACGTTTCAGGTTATATGAATGGCGAGATAGACGTGGGTGTGATACGTCTTGATGATGGGACGCCGTCGCTTAATAGTTCTCATGAGTATGGATCAGTAGAGCGCGGTGAGGACAGAGTTGAAGAACTGGTAAAAGGCGGTGAGATGTCTGGAATTGACCTGAATAGCATTTATAATGCAGAGGTTGTTGCACAGCTCGAAGTTGTCGAAAACATGGCTAGAGAGGCGCAGGGGTTACAGAATAAAGATAAAGGAAAAGGGAAGGGGATATCGAATGCTGATTCGTTAGCTTATGGAGGGACAAGTCAAGAGTGGGACGGAAATGGCAAGGAGATGACGATGCTGTGACTACCGATTCTGGGAAGCTGTATAAGCGAAGAGTACATGAAGAGAATGGATGTTAACATAATGGAGGTAGGTGAGGCATCAAACGCTGGGGTTAGGCAGTGCGAAGGAGAAACAGAGGCTGCTGGTGTGGTACATCTTGGTGCTCTTTCACCATGTATTGAAGAAGATTCCAGTGGAGGTGAACTAGAGGCAGAGGGGATGAGAGACACTGAAGGGAGTGATGTAGACAGTGAATTTGCTGAGGGTATTCAGCTTAGCTTTGCCAATATATACAATGATATCATCGAAGCTGATGTGGTGCCTTCCCATGATTGTCCGCCTTGCTTTGGAGAAGAGTTAGTTCAGACACAAGAAATGCATAACCGGGTATATGATTCAACGAATTATGCGATTTTTATTGGGAGGGTATTGAGGAACAAGGCTGATATGCAAACAGCACTAGCAATTATGCAATAAAAAGATTTTTCAACTTCAAGCAGATAAGATCTGATAGGAATAGGTTGATAGTCAGATGTGTGGATATGAACTGTGCGTGGAGGGTGTATGGTCACACCATGGGGTGGAATTCAGAAACTATGGAAGTGAGGACTGCAATACTGACTCACACATGTGATGTTACTACTAGAGCAGAGTATGGGAAGAAGGTGACTTGTAAGGTGATTGCAGAGGTGCTGAAATCCAAATTTGCAAATGAGAAACTAGGACCTCGCGCTGTCGACATACCTGACCTTGTATTGGAGGAACTTAGTGTATCTATTACCTACATGAAGGCGTGGCATGCTAAGGAGAAGGCGGAGATAGAAGCAAGGGGAAGCGCTGCTGGTAGTTACAAGCTGTTGATGGTATATTTACACTTGTTGAAACAAACAATCCAGGGACAGTGGCAACCGTTGTAAGTCGAGGAAACGGGACAGAAAACTGTAAGTTCAAATATCTGTTCTTCACTTTTGGTGCTTGCGTACATGCAGTCCAATTCATGAGGAAAGTCATTGTTATCGATGCAATCGCTATTAAAGCAAAGTTTAGGGGATGTCTGCTGACAGCTAGCTTTCAAGACGGGAATTTCCAGATTATCCCGTTGGGGTTTGGTGTGGGTAGACGGCGAGAATGGAACATCCTGGACGGTAGGGGATTGTCCCTGATGCTAGGGACTTGGTATTTGTGTCAGACAGACACTCTTCAATCTATGCTGCTCTACTGGCTGTTTATCCTCTTGCTCAGCATGGGGTTTGTGTGGTGTATCTGTACCGAAACGTGAAGAGCAGATTTAATAGAAACAGAAGCCTTGCTTACTTGGTGACGCAGGCAGCTTGTGCTTACACTGTAGGTGAGTTCAGGGAGAAGTTTACTGAAATAGAGAGGATGAGCCCGTTGTGTGCCAACTATTTGCGAGGGATAGGCATCTCCCACTAGACACGAGTCTACTTCCAAGGGAAACGCTACAATCTCATGAGTAGCAATGCTGCAGAAAGTTTGAATGCTGCATTGGCAAAAGCTTTAGAGTTTCCTATTGTGTCAATGGTTGAAACAATCCGAATGATGCTGATGCGGTGGTTCAACTGCAGACGGGCTAAGGCTAGTAAACATACAAGTGAAGTGACACCTGAAGTGGAAGACCTGCTTATGCAGAGGCTTTCAAAGTCGGGAAATCTGAAGGTGGCGGCTGCAAGTGCAACCATTTTCCAAGTAAGCACTGTTAGTGGAAGGTCATTCACAGTTGACTTGCAAGGAAGGTCATGTTCTTGCAAAGTGTTTGAGACCCAGGGTATACCATGTTGCCACGCTTTGGCAGCTTCTAGAGCAGGTGGAGTATCAATAACTGATATGGTGGATGAATATTACAAGGTTGACTGCTGGAGGAGTGCTTACAGCGCAGTTGTTATGCCAGTGCCAGATGCGGAGGATATGGATGTACCAGAAGAGGTTCTTAACTCTAGCCTACTAACCCTCCTTAGAGTAGTCAGCCAGCAGAAGGCCAAGGAAGAGGAGGATACCTTCTCGTGGAGAGGAAAAAGGTAAAACTGTATGGTAACAATTAAATAAAGGCTGAAGTTAAACAGAGAAAAATGTAATTATTAACAACAATGGTTGTGTTTGGGATTGCATGTAAGCAAGAGGAGCAGAGTCGGACCTAACAGGTGTTCTAGGTGTTTGAATGCAGGCCATAACCGGGCGACCTGTAAGGAGGCAATTCCATAAAGGTTTGTATTGTTGTTGTGTTGAATCTTATATGTACTGAAATAACCTCGTTGTTGATAAAAGTGGATGGACGTTTACTTTTCTTTAGGTAGAGAAGGAAATGTGGCGAGGGGTGTGGGTTTTTTTGGTGTACATATGTACGGTTAAGGATCAAGTGTCATCGAAACAGTTTTTTTTGGATGGAAAGGTCTTGTGGAAGAGCGGTTTGTGTTGGTTGGTGTGAACAGGATTGCGTAGCTCATTCAGAGGATATGAGTGTGTAAATAAGGAGTAAAATCAAGTTTCATCGAAGCAGGTTTTTAGGATGGAACGGTCTAACTAGAAGGAGGCGGGTAGTGTCCTTCAAATGGTGGAGGATGAATCAGCTAAGTTTGACGAGTTTAATTAAAAAAGTGTGAAAGACACTTTTATGATCAGATCAATGATCATGTCCATAGACGACGAAGTTGGTTCTTTTGTTGTGATATAAACTTGTAAAAACGGTTTCCTCCTGAACAAAATGTTGTAATGCAATCTTTAAAATGTTTATTATCCCCTATAAGACTTTATAGTACTAAACAATAATGAACAACGCAGAAGATGCGGTAAGGTCACTGCATTAATATAAACATGAACCATGGAATAGACCATAAGCATTGCAAAAATTATGTACATATATAAAACATACAACCGACTATAACATTAATATAAACATGAGAGAGGAAACATTAGCCCTTGCTAAGTTCCAATATATACAAGAGAAACATACAACTTATTTTAACATTAATATGAAACATGAAACAGGGAGCACAGCATTACGCTTGCTTAAAATTTCAATATCTACAAAACATAAACCCTAGTTTAAGTGCATAGGAGAAATAGATTTGAATACAACTATATTACATTTTATCACAGGAAACGATTAAATTAGACAGTGACTTGCAGTAGGTTAGCAATAGAAAAGGGGATCCAAACAGGGAGGTTGCATTAGCAGATAGATCGAATGATGAGTGAGTACCAGAATGCAAAACACTCTTCACAAACATTATCAGCAGCGCATGAAATGTAGGTGCAGTCAGGAATATCATCAACTGGGTAGGAGTAGCTACTGAAATACAAACCTGAATGAGCTGGACCCATATCCACAATTTGCATGATGACCATGTCTGCAATGTGGACAGCCTCCCCAAGCATCGACATTATCCCACATTTGTAAAAGAGTCCACATACCAGTTTCAAATTGGCCTACACAAATTTTGAAAATACCAACAACAAGGGAGCGTAATGGAGTGTGCAGGCGATAACTGGAGCATAGAAAATGCAGCCTTTGTAGGACCTTCCTGGCATAGTATACGTAGCTCTTCTAGCTGATTGGCCATTACATTGCCATGTTCAACACAAGAGATGAAAAACTTCCAGAACCTGGAGTCCTTATTACCATTGAACTTTGACAGAGGAAGTTGGACAGGTCAACAGAAGACAGCACCTCTCTGCTGAAGACTAAATTCATAGTCTCCTTGGAAGCAGCTATGAAAGGACCAAGATCCCTGAAATCATGACGCCCTATGCGTTTCAAATATCGAGAACAAGTTCTTCAGGAAGGTTTGGCATTTAGAAAGAGATGATGGTGAGAGGATTATTGGTTGCGTGAAGGAAATGATAAAGATTGGGATGTATATAGAGAACGAAGCATTTATGGCAGTAGTTGTAAAAGGAAAAAATGGAAGAATAATCGAGGTGGTGGGATATAATGAGAAAAGACAGAGAGAGAGAGTGATAAGGGGAGATTTTGTGAGACGACTTATCAAGGCGTAGACATCCAGCAGTAGGCAATAAATGAGAAATTGTGAATGGGAGGGGTAATAAATCCAAAAGTTGTGGATTAGAGTTGGGACAGATGGTGCAAGTGGTTTTAGTAGTTCTGTTGAAGTTATTGTGGAGGACGTGGAGAACATGTTAATAAAAGTCTATGGACGTTTAATGTACTGTAGGTAGAGAAGGAAATGGGAGAGGGCTGTGGGTTTTTTGTGTAATTACGTACGGTTAAGGATCAGGTGTCATCGAAGCTGGTTCTTTGGATGGAAAGGTCTTCTGGAAGGAGTCGGTTTGAGTTGGTTGGTGTGAACATTAATGTAAAGGCTGAAGTCAGAGGATATGAGTTTCTAAATAAGGAGTAGCCTAAAATTTCATCGAAGCATGTTTTTAGGATGGAAAGGTGTACTAGAACTAAGCGGGTAGTGTCCTTGAAATGGTAGAAAATGATCATGTACATAGACAAGGAAGTTGGTTGGTTTGTTTCATATATATGATTGTAAAAACGGTTCCGTATTAACAAATGCTGTAATGGAAACTTTAAAATGGTGGTTATCCCCTATATGAGTATATAGCAATGAACATAATGAACAAGGCATTAAGATGAATGCATTAATATGATAAATGAGACAGGTAACAGAGCATAAGCATTGGTAAAATTTAAATATATTAAAAACAGTGAACCTAGTTTAACATTGATATGAAACATGCTAGAGAGGAGCCAGAACATTAGCGTAGAGAAAATTTCAATATACAAACCATACGACCTAGTATATAGAGTAGGAAGCATTTATGGCAATAGTTGGAAAAGGAAAATAGGAAGAGTAGTCCTCGTGGTGGGATATGATGAGAAAAGACAGTATGAGTGTATTGCATACTGGTACGCTCAGAGGGTAGCGCTTGTTTGCTAAAAAATAAATTGTAAATAAGTATATGACTTTAATTTCGTTTTCGCTTAAGTTGTTTCTGTTGGATGTATGTAAAAACTTTAATTTATTTTAATTTTGAACGTTAATTTTCTGGCTCTGCATAATACCCATTGTTAAAGAAATCAAACAACTGTAGAAAGTTTGCGTTATGGCAAAGAACTCGGATTAGAGAAGAATATATAAAGAAAAACAGTCCCAATTAGTGAGTTTTTCATACATCGGAGAAATAAAACATAGAACATCGTCATACATAGAGAACATTTGGTACACAGTTGGACATTTTGGTACAGGAGTGGAGGTTTTGGTACATGGTAGGACATTTTGGTACACCTACATGAACTCATTAAGTTTTATGACAAACCAGAAAATGAAACAATGCAAACACCGATTGTCAGAGTTGCAACCTTGACCCAAACAGAGTGGAATTCTTTCAACAACGTGAATGCTCGTAAATAACCTTCTCTGAAGAGGGTGCAAAATACGCAAATGGCGGTAGACGACATTTGCGATAACGTGAAGACGAGCAATACTCCCAACCCGAGTGTAAAGAGGTGAAATGATTTCCATGCCTTGTGTGGGGGAACCTAAGTAGATTAGAAACATTCCTTTTGCAAAGCAAGCAAACTCATGGAAGGGTACAATGGTAGAGAGCAAAGTAGTGGCTTTGGGAAGATCAGCTTCTTTGCACGCAATACGCAGTGCTTCTAGATACACTGCAACAGGGTTAGAGGAAGCTACACATTTTGTAAATAACTTGCGAAATGAAGAACCTTCGTTCACCAAGTCTGGATTATTGAAGAACTCATGGAGAGAGAGTTGCTGCAGCACCCCAGGAGAGAAGGCAAGGGCACTTTGTCTTTTACCAACCAGTAACATTGGGGCAAGATCCCGAAAACTACCTGAGGAAAGGGTGCGGTAGATCTCAACTGCAGAATCATCTTCTAGTGAATCCATTGGCAGATGTGGGGGATAGACTGTCTGTGTTTCCCCTAATACAGAACCAATTGACAAAGTGTCAGAAATGTACACTAGCTCTATTTAAAGAAAAGAAATTTATTGTATTTCGGGAGTGGAACGAAGGGGTGAGGTACAAGTTGGGAGTGAGATAAGGTGAGGTGATATGGTAGATAACAATTAATGACATGCAGATAGTAAATGAGGAAATAGTTAAAAGACAACAAGAAAGCATAGCAGCATGGCGTAGGGAAGCAGTACAGGTGTGAGAACAAATGGAAATAGAAACAATAGTTTACAAATAGCAATCAATGCTTGTCTGCTGACTAGCAACTGAGAGGGACAGCTGGAGTGTAAGGTACGCAGAGGAAATTGGGTAGATAAGCGAATTGGTAAATGCAATAAATCCAGTTCAACGCAGGAATACAGAGACATGTTTTAATATTAGTGAATAAAGAAATGGAAAGGACCTAGAATGAGTAAACAAAGAGAGGGAAACGAATTATGAATACAATCATATTACACATGAAAAGCACGGTATATATAGGGGGGGGGTGGGAGTGTTTTGAGAGCGAAGAGTGGTACATGGTACATAGAAAGGTCCGAGATGAGTGTTATGACATAGAGTGTCTATTACTTACCATCACACGTTTCCATTACACATTTCCAATACACTCTTCATAAACATCAATCGCATATTGCATACGAAACTTATCGACCATAGGAGAAGTGATATTCGCCATCTGTTGATAAGTACAGTCAAATGAGTGCATTTCAATGAATTTCATAGCAAATGGTCCGCAGTCACCCGTACGAACATTCTGTGCTAGTCCCTTCTTACGAGAAAATGTGAAAGGAGTGTCGCCTACATGGGGAATATCTTCTAGCTGGCAGTAGGCCTTGATAAGGTAAGGCAACATCTTCAGCAAAGGATCCATATATGACCTAGTTTCCTGGGCAGTTGTAGAACAGACGAGTGGGTCGAGTATAACTATGTGCCTTGTTACCAAAGAGATGACTAAACCAACCCAATGACGATTCCCCCAATTCATGGGCGCATAAACTGTGTCAACATCCTTAAACCACATGGATTTATCAGTTCTAGCACCAAAGGAGCCATCAATGTAGCTGTCTAGCAGAGGGTGCCAGCGATATGCGGCTGGGGAAGCAGCTTCGCAGAATGTTGGATAGTTAGTTGACAGAAGTTGGGTCAGTAAGCTGTCGAGAACGACAATGCGCTTCGAAAGGAGGTAAGAACCCCATCGCCGCCAAAACGGCCTAAGCATCAAATCCATATGCTAGAAAAAAAGAAAATGTTTACAAAAGTGTGTTACGAGACATGGGACAGTGAAAAAAAATGGTGGGAAAGTCCAACAATACAGCAAAGGAAGGAAAAACGACAGTGTCGTAAACTACGATTATGGCGAGTGAACGAAAACAAGGCAGAGATCTATATAAGTGGTTGGGAGTAAAACAGAAACAATCAGGGCAGCATGCAGATTCATGTTAATTTAAGAAGAGTACTCACAGTTTTGAAAACCCACTTTCTAGGTGTGTAAAGGTCGGAGAAGAAATGCGATGGGACATCAATTCCATCCAAATCATAGGACCTAAATAAACGATACAAAACGGTCTAGGTTAGTTAACGTGAGTATATGAAAATGAAAATGAATTTTTGACATAGCTGGTAAACTTTTTATTGTAGGCAGTCAAAATGGTTTTGAATTTGTGAACACAGCGAGGATTAAGATCAGGGAAAGGAATGTAAACATCAGAGATGGGAGAGAGAGGGGTTTTCCGCTTGACAGTTGGTCCACCATGTACAACATTGAGATCATTTTCAACGCGCTTCCCTTTAAACAGCAGGTCGGCATTGGTGGCTGTAGGGGTCAAATCGGCTGGCAAACCACGTAAATGGACTGGGAGGGGGGAGAAGTATAACTTTTTTATAGCCAGTAGTGCCTGCAACATAAGAGTTAGCGAAGAGAACGAGAAACATAAACATAAGGTGGAAACTCTAGTTCAACGAGTCACTGATGAAGACAGATCAAATAAATTAAAAAAAACCTTCCCATCAGGTGAGGTTGTTGAGAGTAATTGCTGAGCAGGGGAAGCAATGATGTGGTTGGCTGCCTATTTTTCAAGAACATCAGTTTCCTAAAAAATAAAAAACCCATAAGAAGTTCATAAATATCTGATGTTGATGGGCTAGAGTGGTCAGGAAACAATTAACGCAAGCCTCATACATTACAAACAGAAATAGGACCTACAGATGAATCAGCAGCAGTGACGTTAATTGGAAGTGCAGGAGGATCTTCATCACCAACCTATGGAAGAAGGAAAATGATAGCTATTTTTAGAGTGAGAAGTGAAAATAAGCGGATGAAAACCGGAAAGATAAGGAAAAAATTTACTGGGAGAGGCACATAAGAAACATAAGCTGTTGACAATATAGGCCCTCTGGAAGTTGGAACGGGTGGCGGTTGCGGGACAGTTGGTAAAACCGGAGATCGCTGCAAAGCCTGACATAACATGAAATGGTAGAGACTGAGCAATCTAATTACCACAGTTTGTTCAATGGGGAAACAACATTTGGAAATACAGTGAACTACATCATCAAAGGTGGCATGAGCAGCCTCACAAATGGGAAGTAGAGGAAGGGATCCTAAAGGTTTCGGACTACTCATGTCCAGGCCTTGAACATGGGAACCCTAATTTGTAAACAGAAGTTAAGTAAGCCGAGATAGTTGATCATAAAAAACTGTATAAAGTAATAGAAAGGGAAATATTTAGAGAAACAAGATGCAACCTTAAGCGGATGCAGAGGCACAGACATATATGACCGACGAGAGTAGACAACAAGCTGTACACCAGATGAAGGGACACCCAGTCTCGAAAACTGTGGAACACCTGAGACGACAGAGTCAACCTTTTCATACCCCACACATGGAAGGGAGATAATTAATACCAATAAGAAAGAGTAAGAATAATGTTGAGAAGCCAGAGTAAACCTTCTCGGAGTCCACTGATGGACTGGGGCTGTTGGTCTGATCAGGCAAGTCAGAAACTATAACTTTGGTGGCACTTACAACAGGAGTACCTATTGAATACGGAACTGGCTCGGGAAAAAGCGGTCCAAGAACCTTAGTAGCAACATCACCAATGGCGCCATCTGTAGGTACATGAGGGGGTGGGTGCTGAGCGTAACTTTGACAACCCACGTCCCTACCATTAGCAGTACATCCTTTATTTTGTAAGTTAGTGTGAAGCATCTTATTATATGCAACTGGTTGTCGTGATTCATGAGAACCAGAAGGTAGGTCCCCATCCACCGCATCCACACTTGCTGGTGGATCACATGGAGAACCCATCATGCAGGTATGGGGCGCGTATCTCGGCCAGGGTAAAGGATATTTATTCGCTGCGGGTATATCCTTATTGACTCCAAGGAGAGAGTACATTTCAGATAAAAGTTTCGCCTTAAGCTTCCCATACCTGGCAGCATTTTGATAACTAATCCGAGCAAGTGCAGCCTTCAATTTTGCAATTTCTGTGGACTCACAGTCTTCGGCGGCAAATCGCTTTCGGGCAGGTGCAATTTCTACTATCCCAACCGTGAAAATACTACCACACACGTACAATGCTGCTTACGTTTTCCCTTACAAATACACAACTTACGGAGGGAAGCATCTCCACCCACCCAATCAGCTTTATACCAGCGATGGCCACTATCTAGTAAGGTCACCAGAACAGCAACATTCTGATCTCCATCAAAAGTAACAGGAAGCCGCAACTTCTCCTCTAAGGAAAATGGACCACGCGGACAGGCAACAAAAAGCTGTATTTACAATACACTGTAATTAGAGTGGAGCATAAGAAGATAACATAAATATTAAAGGGTATGTGATGAGGACATCGAACCACCAAGTCATATTATTCAAGCTCCTTATGTACCAAGCGGCCCAATGACTAGGACCAGGAGCAAAGACCTAGAGAAGAAGTTCAACATCTTCGTGGAACAGCTGGAACGTGAAGGACTGATCCCTCTAGATCAGTTTGAAGCCATTCGCCTAACTTCATCCGAGAGCTCCCAGCTAAAGGCCGTTTTGAACGAAGTACCACCAACGACTCCGGATGATCCAGGAGACGAGCCACATACCAAATTGAAGCTCTCTGAGTCTACTTTCCGGAGAACCAAAGAACTTCCAGAGATCAGCTATAAATCTCCAGATATGGGCCGAACAGAAAGTGTCTGTCAGGTGGACTCTCTATTAATAAAAAATGAGGCCAAATGGGCCTTATTCACCCCCAAACTTGAAGTCCACTTAAGCACGTGTTCTTTGGTGCTAGAAGGCATCTAAGAAGGCTCTCCTTTCGTCCACAAGACTCTAAGACCAAAGAAGAATCATGTTTTAAAGTCAAGAGATCAAAGTTGCCTTAATCGGCACCCTTGATATTCTCTTTTATTACCAACGTCTCTTTCCTTTATTTTCTTGATTTTGTGTTATGTCTTTCCTTGTTTTTTCTTGCAGGATTTATGTGTTTTTTTTCTTAGAATAAGTTATGAACCTGGCTATATAATGCCTTTAGTTGTAGTCCTTATTTTTTTCAACCTTTGATCAATAAAATTGCTTGTTTTGTGTTTCACAAAATAATTTTGCTCTCCTAATTCGCGAGTGTGTCCGAATTCTTGAGTGTTCTAAGAAGTATCAAATAGACTTTCACATCTATTGTGGTTCTTTTCGATCCTCCTCCATCTCCATCTTATCCGAGTTAGTTAGAGAAGGTCCTTAGACCGGCTAATGACTCATCCCTAATTTGGCTCAAGATTTTTAGCCAAAGCTCATATCATTTTTGGTATCAGAGCTTCAAAACCATCCTATTTTATCAGGTATTTCGTTCCCTTCTAAGTGTTTTAAACTCTGTTTCTCAATTTCATCATAAAAAACCCCATAAAAAAAAAAAATTTCGTCTATTTTCTTGTTTTCAATTTTAATAAAATCCATAAATTTTTTTTTTTTTTTTTTTTTTTTTTTTTCTTGCTGTTTTAGGTTCATTTAATTACTATAAAATCCAGAAAAATTTAGGTCATTATTTTTAAAATTCGTTTGCTATTTTTAAAATAATTAAAACCAAAAAAAAAAAAAAAAACAACCAAAAAAAAAAAAAAAAACCAAAAACATCGTTGCTTTGAAATTTATTTTGTGTTAAACTTTGTCTTTAGTTTGTACTGGTCATTTACGTTTGTTAAAAATTCAAAGTTGAGTTTCATAGGTTTTTCCATTCACATAAGATTTGTGATACGATTGGTAGTAAGAAGATCAATTCGATTGTTTTGTTATCTCTTACCAAAGAATTTGATACTCTGATTTTTAAATACTTTCAGGTGAGATGGGTGAAAACACCGGTGATCCAATGCTGCTATGATGCAACTGCTGCAAACAATGCAACGACAACTCACTACCATGGAACAACGGTTAGTCCAAGTCGAGCAACCTCGAGCAAACCGCAACCAAAGACAAGAGAATGGTGTTGATCGTGAAGATGGTCAAGAGACTGACTCAAGTGATGGAGAGCCACCACAAAAAACCGTAGAAGAAGAAGGGCTCAAAGAAATAATCACGAAATAGAAGAAGAGGAAGAAGACCGTCTAAGGCCTAATCCCATGAATATGAAGCTCAAGGCTCCTACCTTTGCTGGAAGGGTAGATCCAGAAGCTTATCTTGAGTGGGAGCAGCGAATGGAGCACATATTTGCCTATTACAAGTACACCGACCAAAAGCTAGCCTTGGCCGTAGCTCAACTTACCAATCACGCTTTGTCTTGGTGGGATCGTGAAGTTAGTGACAGGAGAAGAAGTGATACTCCTCAAGTGACCACAGGAGGGAAATGAAGCAGCTGATGAAGAAGAGATATGTTCCCACCTACTATCACCGAGACCTTCAAAAGAAGTTCCGGAAGTTAACTCAAGGAACAAAGAGCGTGGAAGAGTATTTCGAAGAATTTGAGCATTTAAGGAATAGGCTGGAGCTTGACGATGATGCCGAGACCACCATGGCTCAATTTCTTGATGGGTTACATGAGAAGATCTCTCATAAAGTAGAAATGCATCCTTATCACGACTTGAAGGACATTTTACACCATGCTATACAAGCTGAACACCACATCAAGAAGAAGATGTCAAGCTTGGGGAAAGTTAAAACAATTCAAAATTGGGATCAAGGACGTGCCAAGACACCTTTTTCATCAACCTCCCAAGTGAAGCCCTTGGACAAAGGCAAAGCCGTGGCTATTGACAATCGATTCAAGTCTAAGCCAATCGAGCCTAACCAAGGTAAGTTTCCTAGCCCTAATAATTCAAGAACTCGTGATATAACATGTTTCAAGTGCAAGGGCAAAGGACATATGGCTAAAGATTGTCCCAATACAAGAGTAATGATTCTCACGGACGCGGGAGAATACGAGTCACAAGATGAAGTAGATGTCGTCATGGATGATGTTGTAGTTGAAGAAGTTGATTGTGAACCTGAGTATGGAGAATCACTGGTCATAAGGCGTGTATTGAACCTCACGGTTCATCCCGATGAGTTAGCTCAAAGAGAAAACATTTTCCATACCCGTTGCACTGTCCAAGACAAGGTATGTAATCTTATCATAGATGGTGGGTCATGTACTAATGTTGCTAGTGAGTACATGGTTTCAAAACTCAGCCTTGGACGGACTAAACATCCTTATCCATATAAACTAAGATGGCTTAATGACAAGGCTGAGATGAAAATCACGGATCAAGTACAAGTACCATTCAAAGTGGGAAAGTATATGGATCAAGTCTTGTGTGATGTGGTTCCTATGCAAGCTTGTCACCTTCTACTTGGTAGACCGTGGCAATTTGATAAGGATACCATGCACCATGGGCGTAGTAACATGTATTCTTTTGTCCATGATAAAAAAAAATATAATCTAACTCCTCTTACCCCGAATCAAGTGCATGAAATTCAAATTAAGATGCTTAAAGAGAAGAGTTCTTCTTCTAAGAGTAATTTTCTGATCAAACCTAGCTACATAGCTAAGGCACTCACTTGTAAAGAACCGGTATTACTAATGATCTTTAAGGAAGTTTTGACCGCAGGTTTTAGTGCTTTGGAACAAGATCTTCCTAAAGAGGTGAGGACCTTTTGTACCGGTATGATGAGATATTTCCGGATGAAATACCCCCTGGTCTACCTCCTATAAGAGGAATTGAACATCAAATAGATTTGGTTCCGGGTGCACCATTGCCCAATAGAGCCGCTTATCGAGTTAACCCGGAGGAAGCTAAGGAGTTGGAGAAACAAGTGAAGGATCTATTAGACAAAGGCTACGTAAGAGAAAGCCTAAGTCCATGTGCTGTACCAGTCCTCTTAGTACCAAAGAAAGACGGAACTTGGAGGATGTGTGTGGATTGTCGAGCTATCAACAACATTACCATCAAATACCGACATCCAATACCAAGGTTAGATGATATGCTTGATGAATTATCTGGATCTAATGTGTTTTCTAAGATTGATCTTAGGAGTGGATATCATCAAGTAAGAATGAAGGAAGGTGATGAGTGGAAAACGGCTTTCAAGACCAAGCAAGGTCTTTACGAGTGGCTAGTAATGCCATTTGGGCTTACCAACGCACCTAGCACCTTCATGAGGCTTATGAATCAAGTTCTAAGACCTTACATCAGTAAGTTTGTAGTGGTATACTTTGATGATATACTTATTTATAGCCCTACATTCGATGATCACCTAGTTCATTTGGAACAAGTTATTCAAACGCTTCAAAAGGAAGGTCTTTATGCCAACCTTAAGAAGTGCACCTTTTGTACTAATGAGCTTGTCTTCTTAGGCTTTATAGTGAGTTCACAGGGACTGAGAGTGGACGAAGAGAAAGTCAAAGCCATACAAAAATGGCCGACACCAAGCAACATTAGTCAAGTAAGAAGCTTCCACGGCTTGGCTAGTTTCTATAGGAGATTTGTGAAGGATTTTAGCACCCTTGCCTGCACCACTCACCGCTGTGATCAAAAAGGACGTGGAGTTCAAGTGGGGAGAAGCCCAGGAGCAGGCTTTTACAGCTCTAAAGGATCGGTTATCGAATGCACCGGTTTTAGCTTTACCGGATTTCACTAACACTTTTGAGATTGAGTGTGATGCATCAGGATTAGGTATTGGAGCTGTGCTCACTCAAGGAGGTAAACCAATAGCCTATTTTAGTGAGAAACTCAATGGAGCAACACTCAACTATCCTACGTATGACAAAGAATTGTATGCCTTAGTCCGCGCCATGGAGACTTGGCAACACTATCTACTCGCTAAGGAGTGTGTAATTCATACGGATCATGAGACTTTGAAGCATCTAAGAGGTCAAACTAACCTGAAGAGAAGGCATGCAAAGTGGCTCGAGTTCATAGAGACGTTTCCCTATGTCATCAAATACAAGAAGGGAAAAGACAATGTAGTAGCCGATGCACTTTCAAGACGACATGCTCTCATCTCTACAATGGATGCTAAGGTTCTTGGTTTTGAATTGATTATACCTTTATATGAGTCTGACCCTGACTTTGCAGAGAGCTATACGAATCCAGGCAAGGGAGGTCACGTGTCCTTCTACATTCATAATGGCTATCTCTTCAAAGATAAACGGCTATGTATCCCGCAATGCTCTTTAAGGGACCTTATAGTCCGAGAAGCTCATGGAGGAGGATTAATGGGTCACTTTGGCGTGGAGAAGACTTTAGCCATGCTCAAAGAACATTTCTTTTGGCCTCATCTTAAGAAATCAGTGGAGACTTTCATTGCGAGATGTATTACTTGCAAGAAAGCAAAGTCTAGAGTCCAACCCCACGGTTTGTATCTTCCCTTACCGATTCCTACTTCTCCTTGGGTTGATATTTCCATGGATTTTGTGCTAGGTTTGCCCAAAATCCGGCACAAGGACTCAATATTTGTCGTAGTGGACCGTTTTTCCAAGATGGCTCACTTCATACCATGTGCTAAGACCAACGATGCTACCCAAACCGCGGATCTCTTCTTTAAAGAAGTTGTTAGATTACATGGCGTTCCAAGGACTATTGTGTCGGATAGAGACACCAAATTTCTCGGGCACTTTTGGAGGACATTGTGGAAGAAATTAGGCACCAAACTACTATTCTCAACCACGTGCCACCCGCAAACTGATGGCCAAACCGAAGTTGTCAACCGCACGCTTGGAACACTTCTACGAGCAACAATAGGGAGAAATCTTAAAAATTGGCTTGATGCCTTACCTTTTGTTGAATTTGCTTATAATAGAGCTATCCATAGTGCAACACTAATGTCTCCATTTCAGGTGGTCTACGGATTCAATCCCAATACGCCTTTGGATCTCACACCACTTCCACAAAAAGACTTCTTAGACTTAGATGGCGAAAAGAAGGCCGATCAAATCAAGAAGCTCCATTTAAAGGTTAAGGAGAGACTTGAGAAAACGAATGAGCAACGAGTTAAAGCAGCCAACAAGGGTCGGAAACAAGTTATTTTTGAAGTAGGAGAATGGGTGTGGCTACACATGCGACCGGAGAGATTCCCCAACCAAAGGAGCTCTAAACTTTCACCCCGAGGAGATGGACCATTCAAAATTTTGGAGAAGATCAACGACAATGCCTACAAGCTAGATCTTCCAAGTGAGTTCAAAGTTTCAACAAATTTCAATGTTTCTGACCTGGCTCGTTTTGATACAGGAGAAAACGTTTTGGGGTCAAAACCACATGAAGAGGGAGGGAGTGATGAGGACATCGAACCACCAAGTCATATTATTCAAGCTCCCTATGTACCAAGCGGCCCAATGACTAGGACCAGGAGCAAAGGCCTAGAGAAGAAGTTCAACATCTTCGTGGAACAGCTGGAACGTGAAGGACTGATCCCTCTAGATCAGTTTGAAGCCATTCGCCTAACTTCATCCGAGAGCTCCCAGCTAAAGGCCGTTTTGAACGAAGTACCACCAACGACTCCGGATGATACAGGAGACGAGCCACATACCAAATTGAAGCTCTCTGAGTCTACTTTCCGGAGAACCAAAGAACTTTCAGAGATCAACTATAAATCTCCTAGATATGGGCCGAACAGACAAGTGTCTGTCTGGTGGACTCTCTAATAAACAATGAGGCCAAATGGGCCTTATTCACCCCCAAACTTGAAGTCCACTTAAGCACGTGTTCTTTGGTGCTAGAAGGCATCTAAGAAGGCTCTCCTTTCGTCCACAAGACTCTAAGACCAAAGAAGAATCATGTTTTAAAGTCAAGAGATCAAAGTTGCCTTAATCGGCACCCTTGATATTCTCTTTTATTACCAACGTCTCTTTCCTTTATTTTCTTGATTTTGTGTTATGTCTTTCCTTGTTTTTCTTGCAGGATTTATGTGTTTTTTTCTTAGAATAAGTTATGAACCTGGCTATATAATGCCTTGAGTTGTAGTCCTTATTTTTTCACCTTTGATCAATAAAATTGCTTGTTTGTGTTTCACAAAATATTTTGCTCTCTAATTCGTGAGTGTGTCCGAATTCTTGAGTGTTCTAAGAAGTATCAATAGACTTTCACATCTATTGTGGTTCTTTTCGATCCATCCTCCATCTCCATCTTATCCGAGTTAGTTAGAGAGGTCCTTAGACCGGCTAATGACTCATCCCTAATTTGGCTCAAGATTTTTAGCCAAAGCTCATATCAGTATGAATACGTATGTCTTTAGAATTTTCAAGTTGCAGAATATTTTCGCTGTGAAATGTCTTCAATGGGGGTAAAACAGCAACTAGCTTGTCCAAGAATGTACGCAAATCATCTGCGCCAGGGAGATACTGCAAAAGGGCTGGTATAGATTTAAAGAGAAGCAATTGGATAGCCATTGGATACCCGTGAATGGCAAGGGAATGTTGCTTCAGTTTGTTGAGAAGGTGTGATTGGGAGCGAACTTTGTCCCCAACTTTGAGCATCCGAACTGTTCTTTCAAAAGCATGTCGACCCCATGGATAGTTGAAGAAAAACTCAAAGTCTTTTACCATCTCAACAATAGGAAACGATGGCCGGATAGGCTGTGTGCCACATAATAAGATGCCTTCAACAATGACAATGAGAACTAGATGCAGTTTCTTCCAACCTGGCATTGTCGGGGAATTCTTTAGGATACTGACAATGTCAATAACTATAGGATTTTCATTCCTCCCAAATAATGTATACCAATAAGGAGCTTCCCCTTCAGAATGAGACTGGGCAGCACCTATCTTGGATTTAGAAGGGTAAGCCCCACACAGCAAACCAGTGAGACTCTCAAACTCCAAAATTGAAAATCTCAAAGGATGGCCACCATATGTAAACCATATTTCATGCGAATTATGTGAAACAATTTGTCTGCAGAGAAAGTTGTGTACAAGTTTACCAGAGAACGAACATCGAGTTACCGGAAGGGAGAATAAGGTGCCAAATTGAGACTGAAGCAGAGATGTAAGCTCTGGGGTTCCCTCCAATATACTGAGAATGTCAATAAGATATTGCAGTTTTGAGTATGAGTTTACCCTTCCTTTAGTTGGATACCTATCAGTTTGAAATAGGCGTGATGGCAATGAGTCCTTCGCGTACAAACCATCTGCGTTTAAGACATCATGAGACTATAGTCAGCTAAACTTAAACAGAAAAGTGGATTCTATTGTAGATATTTTTAGTCAACCTTGGGACGATGAGACAGATGAAGAGGATGCTGCATCTGCAGATGCAGTATCAGGAGGACACAAAGTATCTACAGGCCGAAGTAGAGGAGCTGTTAGTTTAAACAGTACTCAACCAGAGTTGAGTAGAAATGAAAAAAAAAATTATGTCAGAGCCAACGCATTCGCTTGATTGGCCCTTGTCAGGCTTGGAATCTGATGCTGAGGTAGCAATGTCACTTATTTGAATATCTGATGCATTCGTGCCAGTGTCTGAAGCACTTACAGACACTGAAGACGTTACAGATGGAGTGTGACTACCAGCGTGTGCAGACGAATCAATACACGTAGGACTGCTGCTATCTGAAGAAAATGAATGAGAAAAGAATAAGTGAGAGGCAGTCACAAAATTTCCGAATAATGTAGGTCAACTACAAATGTAGATATAACGGTCGACCAAATTCCATTGTTGTTACAGACAAACTTTCAATTAAAATCTAAGCGAAGAGGTAGTTGACATGACGCAACAACAGAGGGACGGAAATGAGGGAGATTATGTTAGAAAAAACACCCTACTGCCATCAAGACGAGTTACCACAAACATAACAGCGAGAATCGTTAACCCATACGGAACAAATCAATAACATATAGAATGTTGAAACTAATCCCTAGAGCCACTGGAGGAGCCTAAACCCACGGGGAAGGAATGTAACGGCGGTTGACTACAGAAAACTAATCCCTAGAGCCACTGGAGGAACCTAAACCCACGGGAAAGGAATGTAACGGCCGTTGACTACAGAAAACTAATCCCTAGAGCCACTGGAGGAGCCTAAACCCACGGGAAAGGAATGTAACAGCGGTTGACTACAGAAAACTAATCCCTAGAGCCACTGGAGGAGCCTAAACCCACGGGGAAGGAATGTAACGGCGGTTGACTACAGAAAACTAATCCCTAGAGCCACTGGAGGAGCCTAAACCCACGGGAAAGGAATGTAACGGTGGTTGACTACATAAAACTAATCCCTAGAGCCACTGGAAGAGCCTAAACCCACGGGGAAGGAATGTAACGGCGGTTGACTACTGAAACGTAATCCGTAAAGCCACAGGAGAAGCATTATCCCACGGGGAAGCTATTTTCAAGAGCTTAACGACTGAAAACTAGTCGCTAGAGGTAGTGTAAACCATAAATCCAAGGGGAAGCTTAATTACTAGAAATCGATGACTACTAAAAAGTTAAATATCCATCGATTGCATTGCAGACTTCGGGTTGCTTTAAGCAGGTCGGGCCTTTGCCGGCCAAACTTCGAGAAGAACGATAATGCGCAGAGCCAACAGTAGTAGGAGAGGGAGGTTTCGGCAAAGGAGGACAGATTTTTAGATCCACAGTTAGGAAGCTGGAGGTTTGATTTGTCCGTCCGCCCAGAAACACGAGATACTGCATCACGGAGCCACATATTTCTGGTTTTCACCATGATCGCAACTGAGGTGTGATGGAGTTAGGATGAGGTTGGGGAGAGAAATCTGGATTTTTTGGGGATCTCGGGTATCGGGTAACAGTTCGCCGATATTTAAAGCGAGTTAATTAGTTGCAATTGGAGAGATTATGACGTCAGCGGGAGGAGGACAAATTGGTCAATTCGACTGCCTTGGATGCCTAAATCGTGAAAGCATTTGGAAAGTGCCGAAATCCGAAAGGCAGTTGTGTTTTAATGCCTTATTTTTAAATAACTCTTAGGAAAACTCTATAAAAACTTTAAAAGTTGGGAACTATTACGTGGGAATTAGCATTGTAGCGCATCAAAAATGTGGTGGGTCATAAAGCCACACATCGCATGAAACCATAAAAGTCTTAGTTATACAACATGTTGTTAGACATGGTCGTCTATTGGTGAACCGGTTATTGTCACAAAAACTAGGTAATGTAAAAATCAAGGTTGAAAATTCAATTGGGAAATTAATATCATTCAATCTTGAGAATTAATTGAATGATGAATATATGTTTTAGTTATGGGAAGTTAAAAGTTAAACAATTATGATACTTGACATCTCATGTGGTCATATAAAGAGACATCAAATCTATATATAATAGCAATCTTAGTAAATGCCTTTTGCACTTGTGAAAGGTTATGTCTTTTAATCGCAACTTTTCGTTATTTTTTTAAAGCTAAAATATAAATTTTAAGGTTATATTTCTTAGAAAAATCCAAATGTCTTCTACGCTTGCGTCTTTTTATTGTTACTCTTCATAAACAGTTGCAACCGCTTATTCGAATCATTGCTTAATTTAGTTTATTTCACTAACAATTGCAACATTTGGTTAATATATTTAGTTTATTTTACGAACAATTGCAACTTTTGGTTTATTTTATAAATCGCTAAAATATTTAATTATCTACCGTCGCGTCTTTCAGTATAACTTTTCATAAATTAAATGAGATTTTAACCGTTTAATTAAACCATTAAAACACTAGGTTTATTTGACGAATCATTGCAACTTTTGGTTTTGTTTTACGAAACGTTGTAATCTTTAGTTTATTTGACGAACAGTTGCAATTTTTGGTATATCACAACATTTCGTTTATTTTATTATTAAACTAAAAATATATTTTACGTTATCTTTTTTGAGAAAGTTGCAATCCGAGTAAATATTTTCTAAAGTTGCATCTTTTTATCGTACCTCTTTGTAAAACTGTAACACCCCGGTTTCAGAAATATGGTGGTGCATGCGGAAAGGTTTAAAAGGATTGATTTGGCCACCTATGTCACCAAAGTGCACTTATCTTTTCGGTTAACTGTCCTGAGAGAATTCCACAGTTAAGCGTGCTTGAGTTGGAGCAATTTTAAGATGGGTGACCTTCCGGGAAGTGATTGTCGGAACTGTGTGACTGAGAACAAAACACAGAGAAAGATGATTTGGTGATTTGTAGGGTAGGTAAACAAGTCTTTAAAGCCTCCTGGACGTAGCAGACCGGCTGTCGGACACGGGTGGGCCTACGGGCTGAGAGAGGACGTGTGGCCCATTAAGAGAGGTGTGGCGGTCGGGGCGTTACAAAAACTGTTGCAACTGTTTTGTTGAACCATTGCAATATTAGTGTATTTCATAAAAAATTGCAACCTTAAGTTGATTTTATAAATCGTTATAACATTTAATCATCTACCGTCGGTGTAACTTTTCATAAAATGTAACTATTTAATTGAATTATTGCAACATTTGGTTTTGTTTTAGGAACTATTGTAATCTTTACTATATTTGATGAACCATTGCAACTTTGGATATATTTGATATATACGGTCGCGTCTCTCGATATAAGTTTGTCATTTAAAAAAAAATTTATTACTAAAATTTATTTAGATGAATTGTTGCTACCGTTTAATTTAACATAGTAGCATTTGGTTTATTAGTCAAACTAATGAACATTTTGGTTTATTTATCAAACCGTTGTAACCTTTGGTTTATTTAATATCTTATGCACTTGAAAATAGTTTTTAGTTACAAATTAATGTTTTTCTAATACTAATATACTTAATAAATGCTTGTGAAGGTTTTCTTTATCATAATTTTCGTAAAATATATATTGATTTATTACTAAAAAAATATAAATTGTTACAATTTATTATGACTTTTCGTTTGATATATTTTTTTAAAACGATTTTTGAAGTATTTTCCTCTGCGACAACGCATGGGTCCTAATTCCTAGTTAAATTATAATAACGGAAGAGTTGGTTATTCATTAAATCAAAATCAGAAAATTAGATGTGGGGAGGAACTATTTCTAATGAACGGAGACTAGAGTATTTTTGCCTCAATCAAGTGTAGACTTGATCAGGTTGGATAAGACGCGGTTTGATTGTTTTGTGTGCATAGGTTCGTTGTTAATAGAAAGACCGAACAAGGAAAATAGGCGAAGGATATTTCAAGTTGGGTCAAAAACAAAGTGGAGAAACCGATTTACGAATTCGAGGACTAATTCATTTTAAATATGGGAGAATTGTAACATCCTAAAATTTGGATGGGTTTGTTAAAAGAAAGAGCAAGCCCATTAAGGCCCAATTGCGTTCATAATAACAAAAAGACAAGGGTTTGTGTGTACGGTCGTATGTATATTTTGAAAAACTTGTATCGTTGTTGTCGCAAGGAGAAAACAAAGAGTTAAAAACCTCAGAACCTTAATCTAAGATTACTAGTGCTGAACTAGAGACTATCATCATTGTTACCGTCAAGTTGTTGCCTCCATTGTTGTTGTTGTCCCTGTCATGGTGTTGTGTTTGAATGGATCCGAGAACTTGTCGGAAAGGAGAGATCGTTTCCGTTCATCACCACTATAGCCTGTAGAAAATAAAGTTGCAGACATGTAGAAAATAAAGTTGCAGGTTTTCTCAAATACTACTCTTCATTATTGCTGAGAATTGGTGGGCCTTAAATAGCTAATGACATGAAGACTAAGTCTCCTACAACTAAACAATGAGAAACTTGCGGAAGTAAACTAATGACTAGGACCACTACTACTTGACTCCTACAGACCAGGAGCTTATTCAAACTTGAAAAACAACTTAAAGACTCATTCAAACTAAAGCTAAAAGACCAATTCAACTCTAATACTCCAACATAGCCACCGTGTTTACCGGATTTTGCAACCATGAGTCACCGGATGTTAGCCACTGTTACTGGAGCAGTCGTTGTCCATCGACGAGGCCCTTAAGGGCAAGGAAACCCTATACTTGTCATATAACTTGCGCAGAAAGTTTCAGAGATTGTCTTATGATCTGTTGGCTTGTTTTGTTTATTGAAGGTGATGAGAGTTTATAATGGAGAATTGTATATTTACTTTCATAATCATACGCTTTGGGTTACATATGTTTATATAGTAAAATAGTTTCCTAAACTAAGATAGACCTAAATCTTTACATATCAATACAATAAATATTACAATATCTTCATATTAACTTGTGGATCTTCTAGATCCTTCTATACGTTCCCTCAATCTCAAGGTGGTAATGGAGAAATGTCGGAATGAACGTCTTGAGATTGACATTTAGAATCGAAGAAGTAACGGTGTTGAAATGACAATGGCGTAGGGAGAGAGATTGCGAGACTCGTCGGAGCTATAGGCCACCTCGGTTGTGACTAAAGCAGATCTCGAAATATTGGGTGGAAAACTTGAAGCTGGACTTGGGCCACTGTATTGGTAGGCAGAGTAAAGATTCGTGACTTTGAAAACAATTTTTTTTTTTTTTTTTTTTTTCTCGTTTTTTTTTTTTTTGTAATAATAGGATATTGATGAACATAAAAAATAAAAAAATTCAAACCTTTTGGCTTGGAAACAAAAAATAAAATAAAACGAACTAGAAGCACTTTTGGCTTAGATTCAGATGTCTATGACTTGAATTAAGAGAAGCTCATCAATGGCTTAAGAAAAACGAGAATAACCAGATTTTTTTTTTTTTTTTTAAATTGCAGAAAAATGAAAGAAGCACTTAGGCTCGATTCAGAGGTCTATGGTTAGACTTGAATAACATAAGCATTTTTTGCTTAGATTCAGAGGTTCATGATGAACTTGAATGTTGGAAGCACTTTGCTTAAACACAAAAATAAAAAGAAGAAGCTCTTGGCTTAGATTCAGGAACGGAGCCGATCGTTAGATCATTGTGGCTCTGATACCATATTGCAGGTGATGAGAGTTTGTAATGGAGAATTGTATATTTACTCTCATAATCATACGCTTTGGGTTATATATGTTTATATAGTAACATAGTTTCCTAAACTAAGATAGACCTAAATCTTTACATATCAATATAATAAATATTACAATATCTTCATATTAACTTGTTGATCTTCTAGATCCTTCTATATTGTTTTGTTGGTTGAGCTATGAAGACCTAACCACCGTGAGCTTGAACCGCCTTGTCGAGCCGCGTAGCAGATCCGTCGAGAAAGCTAGCCGAGAAAGGTAATCCAAATCCAGCATATCCTTGTGTCGTGTCTGTTGTTGATGTGTGTAGTTGTGATTATTGAACCTGGTTCTAAACGAAACTAAACCAAGATCCACGTGTTATTAAGTCCTTAAACCAGAACCTATTAATTGTGAACACGTTAGTTGATTTGTGGTGTTGTGCGATTATTAATTTGGCGATTGTTTATTGAACCGTAGTCGATTATGTGATCCATGGAGTGGAATAGTGGTGTTATTAAATTATTAGAGTTGGTTTGGTTTAATTATTAAACCGGGTCTAATTAATTTAATCGAGGGAACACAAAAGTTATTTTAAATCGAGTTTTGGTTATTAGATTAAATCATAAATTATTATTAGAATATAATTTTTGATCGTTTAATCTAAACCATTGCAGATTAAGACCGTCGTTGAATCGGATCCCCATTGTTGCTAGCCGAAAGTCAACGGATTTGCTAAGGTGAGGATAAAATCGTGTTTTCTTTCATATATGAATATGTCTAGTTGATTACTTAGTCTAGGGTTAAGCCGAGTATACCTATA